CTTAAATCAGAGGAGAAATCACAATGGAAATTAGAAACTACTTTGAACTGAATGATAATGGAAATAATTTCCATACTTAGAGGAAAATTTATAGCCTTAAATGCATCTGTTAGGGGAGAAAAAATCCCAAAAGCCAATGACCTGCATATCTTTCTGAAAAGACTAATGATAGAACATAGTTACGTCTATGAAATTATAATTTTTGAAAAAATTATTTAGAAATTTATGAAATAACAAGCATATGATAAGTATGTGTGGGGGAGGAAAGCCAAAGGTTGATCTACTGAAAAGCCTAATCGAATTGAAAACACATTCCTGAAGATGTCAATCAAAAAAAAAAAAAAGAGAGAGAGAGAGAGAGAGAGAAGGACAAAATGACCAACATCAGGAATGAAAAAAGAGACTCGAGAGACTTAGATGAACAACAAATAGGCTACTTCTTAAAATATAGTATATATAATCAAAAGAGAGCAAGAACGGATGAGCAGGGTGTGAGGATGGTCACTCCGATAATAAAATCATAGTCCCCTGCTAAGTTTTCAGATTCAAGGCGGTTTTCAGATCTAGAATCCACTAACAAATGGAGTTGGCCAGGGACCCAAGAAAATGACCCTTGATATGAAATGGTCCACGTCAATCACACACAGTACAAACTCCTCTAGTCCTTCCCCAAAGGGACCTATATCATTTACTGTAGCTCCAGTGCACTGGAGGACAAGAAACGTCTGGGTAGACATGAAAGGACTGTTGCACACACAGTCTGAACTGACACTGATACCCGTACAGCTGAACTGGCGTCACAGCTCCCCTCTTTGAATGAAGGTTACTGGGTGTCAGGAAATAAGTAGAGTCCTGGAAAAATGCAACTTTGTTATTCTACTGGGTCAACAGACCCAACCGGTGGTCATTTCCTCTGAACGTATAATTAGGATTGACAGTTGGAGTAACCCCCATAATGGGTCCCTGACCTCTATAGTAAGGTATAGTACAGCGGAGAGGGGAGAAGTGCAAACCTCAGAAACTGCCTCCACCAGCTAAAAACATCAATGACAGACAGTACCATATCCTAGGCGGGGTGGCAGAAATTAGGGATGCTCTTAGAGAGCCAGAGGATGCCCCTAGCGTAACTGTACTTAATTTGCCACTCTGGCAAAAAACCAGATGCATCTTGGGAAAAGGCTGTAGAGACTCCCACAACCTCAGCCAAGTATTATTAAGCCTCAGTTACAGTTGCAGGACATGGGACCTTTGCTAGAGCCAATTTATGCACCTTCAAACACATGTTACGTGGTCACTGACTCTGCAAATGTGTTCTTTCCTAACACAATCAGGAAAGAGGATCAGAAACAGTTCAGATTCACGTGGGGCAGCAATAATATTTACTTACAGTTTTGCCTTAGGGATATATTAACTTTTCCACCCTCTGTCATAGTCTGAAGAGATCTGGACTATATAGAAATCCCACAGAATACCACATCAAGCCCTTACATCAAAGACATTATGCTGCTCAAGCAGGGTGAGTGAGAGATGGTCAGCAGCCTGGAAGCTTTGTGCTCCAGAGGGTGGAAGACAAAGCCTACAATGACACAGGAATCTGCCACTTCAGTACATCCACTGTGCCCCAGTGGTCAGGGGCATGCTGTGATGTCCTCTCCAAAATAAAAAACAAATTTCCACATCTTGCCTGCCCTATTATAAAGAAGAAAGCACAGTTTCTGCTAGGCTGCTTCAAGTTCTGTAGGTAACACATTTTACACCTGGAAACATTGCTCCAGCCCTGATACTAGCTGACATGGAAGGATATCAACTTTGAGTGGAACCCATGAGATCCAATGGACCTTATGATATCAGACCTATCAGGAGTAGAAAGAAAGAAAGCACGGAGTTTGTGGTTAGCAAGCTCCAGGGGAAAAATCACAAGCCTTTAGAGTTCTGGAACAAGGTTACGCTATATTCAGTGGATCATTACTGAGAAACAACTCCTATTGTATTATTGAGCCCTTGCAGAGACAGACACTTGGCCATGGGACATCAAGTGACGATTCATCTAAAATCAGGACTGATATATGAAGTCATAAAATTATGTGGGTCTCTTCACAATCCAGCATAAGAGGGAAATGGTACATCTTGGACCAATCTCAAGAAGGGTCAGAAAGCACAAGATAGCCCAGCCCCTCATGTCACCTGCTCTGGCTGAACTAGGACCCCTCCTCCCTTACTCACACATGTGGTCACAGGAAGGACTCTTGTATGACCAGCTGAAGAAATTTTAAAAAGCATGAATTTACTTTCCCTTTTTTTCTTTTTTCCAGATGGAGTTCCGCTCTTATTGCCCAGGCTGGAGTGCAATGGTGTGATCTCAGCTCACCACAACCTCCCCCTCCTGGGTTCAGGAGATTCTCCTGCCTCAGCCTCCTGAGTAGCTGGGATTACAGGCATGCGCCACCACACCCTGCTAATTTTGTATTGTTAGTAGAGATGGGGTTTCTTCATGTTGGTCAGGCTGGTCTCAAACTCCCAACCGCAGGTGATCCGCCCACCTCAGCCCCCAAAAGTGCTGGGATTACAGTCGTGAGTTACTGCACCTGGCCAAGTTTGCTTTCTAAATGGGTCAACTTAGTGTGTACAAGCCACAAACAGACAAAAGCTTCATTGCAGACCTCACAGGGGCTGGCCTCGAAAAGCAATCGCAAAGGAATACCTTTGAAATGGGTGGGGCTTTGGGTGATGTCCCTGTCATTGACTTGTGTGGAAGGAGAACTGGTCTGAGTACAGTGGGCAGAGGTAGGTCAGGGGCCTGGAAGGAAAACAACTGAAAACAAAAAACAAAAGGGTCTGAGTTAGAAGAATATGGTTAGACACATGAGAGTAGGTACACAGTATGCCCTCTAGAAAGCATCCATCATAGAAGAGGTACTAAGCAACAAAGCAGACAAAACGACTCAGCCAGCTGATGTCAGCTAATCTTTTTTTTTTTTTTTAAGACAGTCTTGCTCCGTCGCCAGGCTGGAATGCAGTGGCGTGATCTCAGCTCACTGCAACATCTGCCTCCCAGGTTCAAGCCTCAGCCTCCTGAGTAGCTGGGACTACAGGTGCATGCCACCATGCCTGGCTAATTTTTATAGTTTTAGCAGAGACAGGGTTCACCATGTTGGCCAGGATGGTCTCAACCTCTTGACCTCATGACCCACCCGCTTTGGCTTCCCAAAGTTCTAGGATTACAGGCGTGATCCAATCTTTATCAATGCCTATCCCCCAGGCTGGCATAAAGGACATCTGAACAAGTGATCATAGTGGCAAAGTCAGAGGCAATAAATGGGTTCAACTATGTGGGCTCCCATTTGCCAAAGCTCATCTAGCTACTGTTGCCTCTGAACACCAAGCCTTCCAGAAAAAGATTAAACTGAGCTCCTGGTATCAGATCATTTTTTGAGAAGAACAGCAGGCCATTTGGTGGCAAGTTCACTAAATCGGTCCCCATTCATCCTGGAGGTGCCAATGGTTTATTCTCACAGAAACAGACACATATTCCAGGTAAAGACTTGCCTTTCCTGCATACAGGGCCCCAGCCAACATCATTATCTGGGAGATTATGAAATGTCTGACCTGCATCATTGAATCCTACACAATATAGTATCCATTGTACAGGAGTGTGGGAATTGCTCATTGTTATGGGATTCACTGGTCTTATCACATGCTGTATCACCAAGAAGCTGCCAGCTAGTAGAGCTAATGCTCTATCTATCTCTCTAATGGCATGATAAAGTCTCAACTGAAGTGCTGTTTTGGATCATCTGTAGCATCATTTTGGAGGCAATATTCTATGAGGATGAGGCGTCATCATATAGGACATACAAATGGAATCAGAGATCTCTGTATAATGCTGTGTCCCCAGGAGGGAAAATGCATGGGACCTAAGAACCAAGGGATGTAAAGAGCAGTCCCATTTATCATCACTTCCAATAATCCTATTGGAGATTTTTTTTTATGTTTATCCATGAAACTGTGGACTCTTCAAGATTAGTGGTCCTGGTTCCCAAAGGGTACACTGTCTTCCAAAGGGTCCTATTGAACCGTAATCTATGGTTGTCCCCTGAGTACTTTGAAATTCTTATGTCCAGGAACCAGCAATTGAAATTATCACCTTATCAGGGTCAATTAATGTTGATCAGCAAGAGGACATAGGGTTACTGTTAACAAATGGGGCCAGGAAGAAACATGTATGGAACTCAGGTGACCCACTCCATTGCCTCTTGTGGCTCAATGGCGTTACACTCAATTGTGACTCCAAGAGAGAAGTGCGTCACCCCAGCCTGAAAGGATAGGGTCTCAGACACTTTAGTGATGAAGGCTTGGGTTATATGACTAGCAGAAGAAGCAGCTGGGGGTGAGGGGAATTTGTAAAGTCTAGTAGAGGAGACACTGGGCACCAGCAGCAGTCCTGAGAGCTGCCACAGTGATGTAGACGTAGTTCATTCTACCAGCCTGGAGGAGCTGCTCCTGGAACACATATGGAGGATCCATGCCTGGCAAGGGGTGGACTGTGGCACACACCAAGATGTGCTACATTCCCCACCTTCAAAAAAGATTCACTGCGTAGTTACATTAGGAGAACGTTTGCCTGGAAATCTCAATCTTTTAGCTTTTTAGGGATCACCTCAAATTTTAAACCGAGGTCACATCTGTTTCAGATAGCCTCAATTCATTGACTAAGTAATAGTGAATGTCCTAGAGATTCTTACCTAGTGTAAAACTTCTCTAACAGGCAGTCTCTGCTCCGGAGCACCCTCTTCCTCTGTCCCATCCTGCTTCTTTCTCCTTCTTTCAAAGGTGTTACTCCAAAATAAACTTTTTCAAGCAAACTCTGTTCTCTCTGTTTTAAATGCATGCTACAAAATAGTATGGTAGTATTTTCATAAAATTATGAATGACAGAAAAATAAATATATACTTAAAATTTATTAATTTTTGAATGGTGAAGTTACAGATGAATTTTGTTACATTCTTATGATTATTCTGTGTTCTCCAAATGCTATGCATGGAACAAATTTGTAAGTTTGGAGTAAATATATTATTCCTTAACTAGAATATCTAAATAATATATAGAGATGATTGAAAGTAACTATCCTCTGCCATACCTTTTGCTAGCATATACATATCCATATTATTTATTCAACAAATATTTATTTAATGTCTACTAGATGCCAGGCATTCTGCTGGGTGATGGAAATAGATTGCTGAATAAAATAAAGTTCCCACCCTTGTGATCTTTGCTTTATAGTAGAAACTGCTTCAAATTTCTTTAACATTTTTGTCTAATTATTAAACCACATAACCACAAACTCTTTCTTAATGTATCAAATGTTATACCTAATTTGTGGATCTAGCCATATACCTGCTTACCTATCTATCTATCTATCTATCTATCTATCTATCTCATTATTTTTAGTTGTTCTATTGGTAGACTTACTATCTAATTTGTCATCCAACCAGGACATTTTTGAGAGGAAAGAGAGTGCTATTAATATATATGCCAAGAGAACAGACAAGAATAGATACCATGCCAGGCAAATTTCTCATTGGTTACTTGTAAACTCTGAATGAAATACCAATATTTTTATTTTTTATTGCATCTAGTATTCCCTATCCTTTCTTTAATCATCTGTTCTTTTCACTTAAATGTCAACAATTCTTTTTATTTTTACTCTTAAATTGCCAAAGCGAATGATACTTAATTTTTAAAGTCATATTTATATCTTTGATGTTTTGCCTAAAGGTTAATTCTCAAATGTGAAAATCAGTCACTGGTTTTATTACTTCTAGAGCTTTGTAAATAGTGTCACTACCCATGTGATTACATTTTCATGGGGTTTTGTTTTTTTATTCTGGAATTTCTAATTGCCTTTTTAAATTTTTGCATATTTGGAACAAGTTTTCAATTCTCGATTTTGTTTAACTTTTCCTTCCCATTAAGTGTCTTTACAGTCTTCTACCATGCTTTGCTAGTTGTCGCTTGTTCCTTCCTTAAGTTCTTCATCTGCTAATGAACCTACTTCTATTTTTTTCATAGTTGTGAGATGAAAAAAAGAGTACTAATGATATATATGCCAAGATAATAGGCAAGAATAGATACCATGCCAGGCAAATTTCTCATTGGTTACTTTTAAACTCAGAATGAAATACTAACATCTTTTTGTATTGCATCAGATACTCCCTACCCATTCTTGAATCATGCTTTCTTCTCCCCTTAACCGTCAACAATTATTATCTTTATTTTTACTCTTCTATTGCAAGAGCAAATGATACTTAATTTTTCTTTGAGTGGGATGTTGAGAAGAGGAGATAAGTATATCTTTAATGTCAAATCTCTTGTAAAATTATTTGAAACTATATTTCTTATTATTAACTTCAAGAATAAAACCATAATTACTCCCCTCTGTAATGAAAACATAAGCATACTTTCCTCCTCCAAAATACTTCGCCAACTTTCTAGTATTGTTTATAGAATTTGGAATTTAAGTCCTACATTATCATTATTCTGATTGTATTTGTTTCTATTTACCCTTTTGCAAAGACGTTTACATTTGAATTCTTTTTTGTCATCACATTTTTAAAAGTCACTGAATCAACCTAATTTTTAATTGGTTTTAATCTCACAGTGCCTTTTCTGGAGAGGGGTTGTACCCCACAGTTGCTGAAAAATCTGCAGAGGCCCAATCGTACCTATCAGAATGAAAAGAAAGACGGCTGCTGCTCCCACAGAAGCCCAGGAAGTGTGACTCCACTGTTGAATATATCTCCATCATTTATCATTTTTCTACATCAGGCAATACAATTTCTAGCAACACTGAGTTTCTAAGGCTTTACGATGAAGGGCACAAGCTTTGCAGTCAGATCTAGATACAAACCCAGCTCTGATATAACTAGCTGTGTAAAGAAATTGAAAAAAATTTCCTCAAACCTCAGTTTCTTTATCTGTAAAATGATGACAATAGTCACTGCCTCAGAGGGCTATTATATAGAAAGCACCTCTTCCAATGATTGGCATATAATAAACCGTTAATAAATGCTGACTCTTGCTTTTGTAAGCTGTAGTTGGAAAGCATCTCCTTTGTAAACAGATGTGTTATGTTACTGTGCAAGATACCACCAACTCCTAAGCATTGCATCAAGATCCTATCAAGAAGGCCTGCAAGATGCAGATGTAATGGAGAGAATGTAAGACCCAGAAGGTCAGATGCCTTGTCTGTCTGATTCACTGATATCTCCTGAGCATCCAGAACAATATCTGACGTAAGGCAAATACAGAGCAAATGCCTCCGGAGTAAATAAAAAGAAAATGAACTTCTTAATTAGATACAACTCTGCTTGAATCCTGGCTCAACCATTTTCAAGCTGTGTAACTTTAGGCAAGTCACATAACTTCTCTGGTGTCTTAGAATTCTTAGCTATAAAGTGAGAAATTATAACACTTTCTAGCTCACAGAATTAGTCACATATCATAACACATGTTAAAATTCTTCACAGACTCTGTCAAGATTCAAATGTCAATGTGACTGCTGTTGTGGCCACATAAAAAAACTAAAACGTCCTTCTAAAAACGTGGTGCTTCTCCCTGCTTTTGGCCTACCTTTGTCTCCTCATGAGCCTTTGGGACCAGAGGCACTGTTTGGCAACTCTCCAAGTGCCATTCTGACTTCCTCTGCCCTACTGTCTCATCTAAGCAAAGCTATCATCTCTGGCTTCACCTTCTCCCTGCTTCTGGAAACCTGGACTTGGGTCTGACAGGGTGCGCCTGATGTTTAAATTTTATATGACTCTGATTTTATATGATTCTCTGGTTCTCAGTACCCTTGACTGTGTCATTTACGAATTCTTCGCTCTGGTTCCTGCCCTGTGGCACCTAGCACCCATTCTTGACCCCTGCATCTCTATACACCCCACTTGCTCCACACTTGCATAGATAGGGTAGAACAAAAGAGTGATTTCCATTATGCTACCTTCCTAAAATCCAGACTTATGTGGAGGTGAAAATTTCCTATTTGTATCAAAAAGGATTTGGGGCAAAGAAAAACTATGAGTATCTCTATGATTTTTTTTAATTGGGCAATTACCAAATACAGCAGACAATAAAATAAGACCTAGGCAGGTGCATGGTAGAGTGTACTGGAGGGGAAAATGGTAACTCTTTCTGCATGTTGTAATGGGTTGAATTAGAGACAGATTCCCAAGGGAGAGTTCAGAATCATCCCAGAAAGTTCAGTAAAGACATCAGCTACAATGAAGACATCTGCTCAATAAAGTCACCACAGTGGGAGTGCAAAAGAGAAGCGGATATTGGAATGAATTTAAATAAAAAGCAGCTGAGAAAAATTAGTACAGTGTTGAGCATCTTATTAAATGTTTTTGGGGACCCTAATTCTATAGGCATCGTGTCCATGTCGCACATGCTTTACTTGGCTCAAAGACACAACTTGAAAGCAAAGGCCCAATAGAGATTAATCTATCCATAAACATCTCTGTATCCTTAGTGTGTGCCCTGCTCTGTGTTAGGTCCTTCAACAATTATATGGTAATCATTGCTGTCTGAGAATTGAAATTATTTGAGAATTATTAGAAATGAAAAACAGGGGTGACAGCAAAGAACTAAGCCCATAGCAAGCATGTGACAAACATTGCCAGATAATTAGTAAAACCAATATTTAACAAATATCTCTTGAGCATCTATGGTGTGCCAGGCACTGTTCTAGGCTCTGAAGACACAGAAATGAACAAGACATCCATGTACCCGTCCTGTTGGAGTTTATACTTAAAGAGCCTGAGATAGAGGAGACAAAGCGTGCTAATGCAGGATGGGAGGATGGAGAGTGGGGATATAGCTAAAGGTGGCCTCTACAACCACTTTGCAGAGACCTCATTTGAGCAGGAACCTGTGTGAAGTGACAGAGCCACGTAACAGAACAGAAAATCAAACACCGCGTGCTCTCACTCACAGGCGGGTGTTGAGCAATGAGAACACATGGACACAGGGAGGGGAGCATCACACTCTGGGGCCTGTGGGGGGGAACTAGGGGAGGAACAGCGGGGGTTGGGGAGTTGGGGAGGGATAACATGGGGAGAAATGTCAGATATAGGTGATGGGGAGAAATGCCAGATACAGGTGATGGGGAGGAAGGCAGCAAACCACATTGCCATGTATGTACCTATGCAACAATCTTGCGTGTTCTTCACATGTACCCCAAAACTTAAAATGCAATAATTTATACATATATATATATGAAGTATCCCTGGGAGAGGGGACAGAGAATAAGGTAGCATAAGCTTGAGTACATGGTCACAGCATGGAGCAAGTGTGGTGACCGCAGAGTGTGCTGGACAGGAATGCTAGGTGCTGAGATTGGACAGGAAGCCAGGGCCTGACTGGTAGAGTCCTTACTAACTCATGGTAAGACATTTGGGAGTTTGGAAAAAGGAACTCAGGTAAGCATGTTCACATGTAACAGTTTCTCTGTGATTTCAGCATTTGACTAAGGGCCCAAGGTCAAAAAGAATAGAAGCAAAGTATGCTTACCTTCTAGAAACTGCCAGATTCCATCTCACAGATCTTGCTAAAACATAGAAAACCTGATTATTCTGTCTTCACCTCTGTCATCCCAACCAGCCCATGGAAGAGAAAACTAAATTTTGAGAAAATTTTTGGCCTCATGCAGAGTATGTCTGCATTTTTTCTACCCTCATTATTAAAAGAGATTATTCTTACTTAGAGGAAAGTGAAAGGACTTCTAAGACAACTCTACTGAGATGTTGGATGTCAGTCCAGGAAGGGAACTGACATCTTTCTCTCCGGCTGGGACACTTAGCTGAGTTGCAGGCATTAGAACTCTTATCCCAAAGCTGCCATGAGCATAGAGATGTCAGGAGAGCCGTGGAGGACCCCGGAGACTCCTGGAGTATATATACATAGACAGCAACCAGTTCTCACTTGAGATTCCTGAAAGTGAAGTGGTGACT